GTCTTTTTTTCCCCTAAAATGGTTCATATTTCTGGGGGTTTTCAGCCATTAACTCATTGGCTGCCAAAGACATCTATAGAGGTCTTTTATGTTTTTCAACGAGAGTGTCTGGGGGACAATCTGCTAAAGCTTGTCCGTAAATATCAGGCTTCTAGACAGAGTATGTAGTAACAAATTGACCCTCTAGGGGGCAGTGCCACTTTTGATGGGAGATGAGCATAGACTGTAGGCAAATAAGAAAAAGGGAACGGTTCGCTATGAGAGAACATGTCGCCGGTGAGACGCAAGTCCAGGAAGAACGGAATAAGGTAGAAACACATTTCTTTTCCTGATGAAAGAAGAGAGTCTACTCTTTCTTTTGGTGTGTTCGGTGTTTACATAGTCATAGCACAAACTATTCTGTGGCTCTTGAAAAATCAGTCAAAATGCTCAAAAAAACTCTGGCAGTATGGGACTCTCTGTTCTGAAAATGGCTGCCAGTCAATGAGTTAATGTAGCTCTCAGGTCACAGAAGGCTTCCACAAAGAGGACTTCCTTTAAGAATCATGGAAGAAAACTGGACAATTCGGCCTTTTCCTTCCTTATTACAGAAGCATTACACTCTGTCACCTGGTGAAACGTGGAATCTGATTCTGGTGAATCTGATTGTGATCAGAAGTTTGTGTTTGGGACGTTTTCTTTAGCGGCGTTTTTCTAAAAATAAGCTGTTGCCACATTCTGGGGATTTAAAGGCCGAGATTCAGATCAAAGCAGGATGTTAAAACATTTTCAGAATCTGTGTCTTTCTTACCTAAATAAACTTTAACCCTCAAATCTACAGAGAAACGGACGCCTTAATTTAACTTATTAAATACGAATATCTCCATGTCCGATCTCTTTAAATGCTCCTTATAAGGACATAAATCTGATGGATTGGGGAGAAGATGAAGTCATGCTGAGTCACTCTTAACCAGGAAGAGAATCAATGTGAAAAGCTGAGTGTGTGACAGTGTGGAGACCTGGGCTATGACTGGAGGTTATCTGTGCTCAGTCACGGTTCAGAAGACCTCAGGCTCGGCTTTTTTCCTCTGACCTCTGACCTCCGCCCGGCTAAAGACGCAGAGCCTCCGTTATCGGGAGGCTTTTCCGGTTCGGGTTCTGCAGAGAACAGGAAATAAGCTGG